AACTTATCCCTGGAGAAAACACTCTTCTCCTCGGCTGTCTGGGCATTATTAGTGGGGTTACTGAGCTGCAGCTTTGTTATCAAGAACACTTAGATGCTCCAAAGAAGATTTATCCAGGGCCCATGATGATGAAAACCACTTCTGGGGCGAATTAGTATAAATGACCAGGTAATTGGGAAACAGATCTAATATAGGTTGATGATAGTCGAAAATGCAAGAATATATTATTTTTTAAGTGGATGGAGATTTTTAAGATAGAAAAAGAACAGAGCAGGAGTCTAGAGACTGGATTCTAGGCTCAGTTCCGTGTCCTGTCTTTGTGGTCTACAAACTGCCATCTCTGCAGTGTGACTTCTCAGGGCGGTCGTGAGCCACAATTAAGTGGCAGCAGTGCAAAGGGCCAAACAGGTGCCCAGTAGACATGGTCTTCTTCCTGTTCCTATTTGTTTTTCTTTTTTTGTTACTCACAGGCTGATCCTAAAGAGCTAATCAAGATGGTCACCAGGCATGTGACCCGATACGGATACGAAGCCTGGCCCGAGGACCTCGTTGCACTGACCAAGCAACTACACTACTACAATGAGCGTCTCCTGGATTTTACTCAGGCTCAGGTCCTTCAGGGCCTGCGGAAGGGCGTGGATGTGCAGCGGTTTACTGCGGACGACCAGTACAAGAGGGAGACCATCCTTGGGCTGGCAGAGTAAGGGATGCCTTTCTCCTAACGCGATGGATCTACGTGTAACAAGACAAGTTGAATTATCAGGACTATTAGTCTTAGTCCTTTGAAGATTTACATTCACGGTTGCTATAAACAGGGCTTTCCCCTCCTGCCCATCACATGAGGGAAGTACGTACATGTCTTCCCAAATGGGGCAGTAGATGCAGACATCATCTTTAACCTGCAAATTTAAATAGTAAGGATGGGAATTATTTTAAAAAATTGTTTTTCTCATGATTTTGATAGCCTGGTACCAACGTTATTACCATGTGAAAGGCAGTAGGCTATGATCAGGGGCGAAAGTATGAAACTTGCTATAGAAATTTCAAAACAAGATTGCCTTTTATTCCTGGCTGGAAATCTGATTTCTTCGATATGTTAAAAGTTAGGTGCAGTTGCCCTAATAGCGGGGGGTGGGGGGGTTGGTTTCTGGAGAAAGGAGACCTAACCAGCTCTCGCAGGGCCTTTTGTGAGAGGCCAGTGGCAGCTGCCAGTTTTCACTTCGTTCCTTCCCCCTTTCAGGAGCAGAGCGAGCCCGTGTGTGATACGGCAGTAGTTAGTTCAAGGCCCAGTGGGAAGAGTCCCTTTCTTGGTAGGGACTTGCCCTTGGTTTAATGCTAGTCTCCATTTTTTGTTTTAGATCCAATGAGTTCAGATCAAATGAGAATGACTTACATGTCAGAAGGCGGGACAGTGCGTTCACCCACAAGGTTTATTAGGTAGAGGTGTTTGTTTTTAACACCAGAATTTGTTGAGTGCTACTGTGGGCAAGAAACTGTGTGAGGTGTTCTGTGGACTTTATCTCATAAATATCTGCCAATCTTCAAGGTTAATCCTGACATAAATGTTGTTATCCCCATTTTATAGCTGAAGAACATGAAGCTCAGGCATTTTAAGTAACGGGCCTGAGTTTACGTAGGCGGTAAGGGTCACAGCTGTGATTCTTAACCCCGCTCTGGCACATCAGAGCCACTGTATCTTCAGCACAGTACCGCGTGCCCTCGCCTCCACCGCTCGATCATGCCCTCAAGGAAGCACTGGCATGCAGGTCCCTCTAGCTTTCTGCCTTTGAAACTAAGGTTAAATTGTGCCTCCATTTAATGGTTATTCCTCTCTCCTGGTAAGTTACTTTAACAAAGATAGTCCCAGTTTTGGTGATAGTGTATGTGATCTATTATTATTATTTAAATCCTCAAGAAAGTGGCAGAGTAGCCTTGGTAAACTGTAATAATTTTATATTGAATTAGCCTGGGCTGCTTTTTTTACTGGAAGACATTTCAAATTCTCTTTGGAGTAAGATAGGGAATGGAAGATCAAAGACAGAGAACAGGGGTGACCCATAGCTGGACGCAATGAAGAGAAGTGTGGGATTTTCTTCTCTCTTCCCCTCTGTTCTCCTGGAGGCTCATAATTTCACAGAGTCATTTAATGTCCCATTGGAAAGGGACCAAAGAGGTAATCTAACCTCTTTATTTTTTTGGAAAGCTGAATCTGAGAGCCACAGAGCTTTAAAGAGTTCAAGGTCATTCAGCCAGGAGCTTAATGTGGGTTTACAATTTCCAAGTCCAGTGGGCTTTTTCTATGGGCATTTGGTAACCCTTGGTGCCATGCTCATGGTTTCTTAGAAGAGGGATTGTTAGGCAGAATAAAAAGTTTACAAGATAAGGCATGCCTTACATCATCAATTACATTTTGCTGAGGTTTTTGTCCTTTTGTTTTTTCTTTTTTATGTATCCAGCTAGCATATGCTATTTGAAGTATGTCCTAGAGGACAAATATATGCTTTTGATAAATGTATAATAGAATCTTCACCTCAATCTGTTGCTTAGAAAAATATACAGCAGCCTTTGGATGGCTTGTTTAAAATGTCTCAGAGCGGCCATAGCTGTCGTGAGTTAGATGGCATTTCCACGTCTCACATGCAAGAACCCTTGCAGCTCTGCCTTCAGTTGTAATAATATGACCATTTTTATTTTCTTATTAATTGTATATCCATTTTAATGGCAGTTTTCTGTAAGTACATTATATCTGTCCTTTATTGTCTGAATATTTTAGATAATGCACTCTCACTGGTCAGTCAGAGTGACTTAGAAGAGGCTTAATGTAGTTTGGTTTCTTCCCACTTTATTAAATGATAAAGATATCAATACTTAGTGAGCACGTACCTGGTGCCAGGCAATGTGCCAGTCTCCCATGATTGAAAGGATCCATTGCTAAGGGTTCCTGTTCTCTAGGAATTCTCGCTGCATCGTGCAGACATAGGTACTCAATAAATATTTTAAGAAATGATTTTTAATTGATGATGACCTGGTAATCCGTGGGCTGACAGACTCAATCCAGCCGTCGGCCTCTTTTTATCATCCATGAGCAAAGGATAGTTTTCACCTTTTTAAATGTTTATGGAAAAAGAAGAAAAAAATAATAAAAAGAAGAATATACTATAGAGTCTGAATGGCAGCAAAGCTTAAAAGATTTGTAGTCTGTCCCTTTACAGAAAATGTGTGTTAACTGGTTGTCAACCTCAGCACATTTTGGACTGGATGATTTTTTGTGGTGGGAGGGCTGTTCTGTGCCTTGTAGGATGTTTAGCAGCATCCCTAACTGCTGCTCACTAGATGCCAATAGAACTGTCCTCGGCCACTGTGACAGTCAGAAATGTCTGCAGACTTTGTCAGGTGTCCCCTGAAGGACAGAATCACTATCAGCTGAGAGCCACGGTGAGAAAGAGGCATTAAGGTTCCTGGAAGTACTTTCCCTGGGTTGCCAAGAAATGTTTAACAAGGACTGTGCTCTCTCCCCTCTCTCCCTTCCCCGGGGCTGACGGACATTCGCGAAGGACGCTCGAGGAGAACGTCTACAGCGTTGCCCTTTCTCTGGCACAGCGTTACGGCGTCTCCCGTTGGGAAATTTTCATGACCCACTTGGAGTTCTTGTTCACTGACAGTGGGTAAGTGCACAATCGTGTTAAGTTTATGCCCGTGTCTTTCTTTAGAGACTCTGTTCTAGAAGAGTCGTGACGTTTGAAAGTGCGGTTTCACTTTCCCTTTCGGGCTATAGTGGGCCAGCACCTTGGTACGCTACCTCTTTATTCATCGCTGATACAGTAATATTCTAGCTTTGGTCTTTTTGTTTTTGTTTTTCAGTAGTAATAGTCTTGAGTTAGGTACTTTAATATTCATTCATTTGCTCGAGGTTTTTATTGAGCATCTGTTTTGTACTAGGCATTAGATACTAGGTTTCCAAGAGTGAGCACATAGACGGGCGCTCCAGCTATCCTGGACTTTGTAGTCTAGTGGAGGAGACAGGTTGTAAACGAATAATGAATGACACAATAGATGTGACGTGTGACGTGTACCGTGTAAGAGAGCCCAAACGAGCTTCGGCTTTAGCGAAGGCTCTCATGAGGAAATAACTCTTGAGCTGGGACCCAGATATTGGGTTATGATTAACTACACTGTAGGGCGAGAAGGGAGCCATTTTCTAGGGAAACTAAACAGTTATGTCCTAAAGCTCTTGGACAGGAAGGACCGTGACACGTCCGAGGGCCCACCGGATGGACCGCGTAGGTGAGGCCACAGGAGTCGGGTGGGAGCAGAGTGCGAGATATGACAGTGGAAAGGCCTAGAAGCCAGAGCATGCAGGAAGACTGTGCAAGCCCTACTCAGGGCTTTGGGCTTTCCCCCAAGAGTACTAGGAAGCTAGTTAAAGATTTTGGTAAAGAAAAGGGAAATAATATGATCACATTTGCATTTTGATAAGATTACTTCGGTTACTCTGTTAAAAGATTTTAAGGAGGCCAGGGTAGAGCTCTATAAACCAATTAAGGAACTATTATAGTGATACACTGTGTGACAAGTGACCATAGCTTGGAGTAGGATCTTGAAAGTATAGAAAGAGAGATGAGACTGGGTGTCAGAGACTGCTAGAAAGTGAAACAGATAGTACTTAATAAATTGATTAATAAGCATCAACTAGATATGAAGGCGAGTGGAAAGGGAGGGGTAAGGAACCGACTCTAGGTCTTCCTTGGTCTGCCTGTGGGATGGTGACACCATTCGGGGAGACAGGGAATGCTAGATAAGACAAAGTATTTTGAGGGGAGGGCGAGGAAAAGGGCAAAGGAATGGAGAAGTTAGACACACTGAAATGGCCAAGAGGCAAGATCAGGTAGTAGGTGGCTCTTAAGAGATCTGAATTCAAAAGGGAAGACGGAGCTGGAGATGCTAATTTGGGAGCCATATGCACAAAGATGATAAATAAGCTATGTTGCAGATGTGCTTTGGGGTAAGCATGTAGAATGAAAAAAGGAGAAAGACTTAAGACAGACCTGAGGCTCTTCCACAATTAATGGTGGAGGAAGAGCTGACAGCAAAAGCACCAAAAAGAGCAGCAGAGGTCGGAGGAGAAACAGGGATCTTGCGCTGGGGAAGCGGGAGGAAGAAAGAGTTTGAAGAACGGGAGGCAGATTGAGTGGGCTGAAGCCTGCCCGGTGGTCAAGAGATGTTTAGAATTTGGCGTCTTTAATTTTTATTAATTACTTTGAAATTTAACATCTACATTTGAAGTATTTATGAAATTGTCGCATGAGTGATGGTGTTATCTGTGATAAATGCTGCAATGACTTCGCCATTTTTGAGGCACAATAATATGTTCAAAGAAATGTTTCTTATGATATGTACACTGGTATTTTAAAAAAGTTTTTGGCATTTTATTAAATATTCTTTGAATGTTACATAAAATGGTGTCATTTCTGTACAAACAGGATGCTTCACTGATCTCTGAATATATTATAAATTATCAGGCAATTAGGTAATATGCAGCACCGTTCAGGGCATATCATTATACCTGATAGCAGCGTGATTATGCAGCCGTACAGCAATTACAGGAGCAGGAGACCATTACCTCCTGGCGTCATTTCTCGCGAGCGACAAAACACCTAACATTGACTTAGCCGGTGGTGTCTGATGCTCCCTGTTCTTTGCTTGAAAGGCAGTCGTTTGCCTTGCTATTCAGTCAAACTTGGTAACACAGGCATAGAAATCAGTCTTGTTGATACAGTAGATATTGCCCAACATTTATTTGTTGAGTCAATGTAAATGGCCAGTCAGTAGGTCAGAGTCACAAGAAAAATATTGTTTGCCTCAGGGTTTTGTTTTCCTTTTCCTTTAAAAAGATCCTCCCTTTCCTCAAGTTATTTCTCTATACTTTTACATTGTCCTTCCTCTTGGTTGAATTGGCAGCTAGTCCCCGTGTCAGCATGCGGGTAGGTGAGCATACTCAGGCGGGTTTGGGTGAGGAGCATCATTAGGCAATGGAACGTAGCCTTCAGCTCAAGATAGCTAGATCACAACCTGACTGTGTCTCTCTCTAGTTGTGTGTCCCTGCACAAGATAATTCAGTTCTGTCAAACTCATTTTCCTTAACTCTAAGATGTAATAAAATTAAATGACTTCATGGTAGAATATCAAATGTACAGTGCCTCCTGACCCATGATCACTGTTAATTAATGGCAGTTATCCCGAGAATGCCACTCCTGTAAGAAAAAGAATTCTCGTAAACATCCATACTTGAGTTCCTGTTTTCCTTTAATTCCTTACTTTACTTTATTATTGTTGTTGTTGTTATTATTTGTAGTTTTAAATAGCAGTGATGGCTTGGAGTGGAGTGGCCACGTGAGCGCGGAGTCAGTTCCAGCTGGCAGTCACTGGCTCGCTCAGCTTCTTGGTTCTCCTGGGGCATGTTCAGCTTTCCAAGCTCAGGGCTGATTTATCATTCGTCGCCAGTTTAGCAGCCATCTTCACCTCTGGGTTATTCTGGACACTTTGGTGGATCTTCGAGGTAACAGTAAGTGCCAGCACGCATGTGGCCTAGTGGTCGGGCACAGGGTTTGGAGTCAGACCACATTCCAAGATCCAAATGTACTGTCTGAAACCCCACTAGTCGCACTGAGTGCCTCTTAATCCTCCCGAGTCACTGTCCTCTTGGTCACGGGACCAAGAGGTCCTTTCCTTGGAGGCCGTGAAGGTTAGAGGGAATCTGGTGGCTCTGAGGCACCACTGCAACGGTTCCCGTTGTTACTCCGTCAGTTCTGCTGACTCCACGAGTGCGTTTAAGTTTGGGACGCAGGATCATTTTGAAATGATGCCAGAAGAGACTTCTTCTAGCTGACGGAATAGTATTTGTTCATCCTTTAAAAGTTATTTTTTGTAGTATCTTTGTGTTCTAAGCATAGATTTAAATGCTGAACAAGATAGATACATCTTTTTCCTCATAGAGTTTGTATTCTAATAGAGAGACCACGCATATATGCGCATGCACGCACGCGTGCAAACACAGACATACACACGCTCTTAAAAATAGCCAGAAAATAAATTGCTGGTCATAGCAAGCACGGTAAAGGAACTGCATAAGGAGCAGATAGGGAAAGCCTTTCTCTGGACCTGGGAAGAGCTCACTCCTGCAGAGAGTGGAAGAAAGGCATACCAGGCCGAGGGAGCAGGTCCTAGGCCAGGAAAGGTGGTGGCGTTTTTGAGTAAACTAAAGGAAGGCCATTGTGGTTGGAGCATAGTGAACAAAGGACTAAGTAGAGGCCAGAATTGCCTCTGACTGACAGCCTTGGTAGGAGTCCCCATCTTTCCCCGTATTTAAACTGCAGCGCTGAAGGCCAAGCATCATACACTTTCATGTCACTCCAATTTCCACTTTTTAGCCACCCACGTGATTTCCCAAGTGACTTTGCTTGGGTGGCAGAGATCGTGGTACCATCTTCTCTGTCATTTAGTTTATACTGTCTCCTTCAGACCCATGGATGGGGTCCCTGGTCATAGGGACTCTGACAGTGCTGTGCCGTTTTTCATATCAATTTCATATTCTCTGGTAGATCCTTTTGGTCTCAGATACAAGGATGGGTAAGAGCAGGTTATAGCTGTGGGGAGATGAATAAACTGTAATGCATCTTCCTTTCTCAGAGTTGAAACAGAAAATACACTGAGTCTGTGCCTGGGGATTGCTGTTGATCAGCACATTGTAAAGGATTCAAAATTCTGGCATTCTCTTCCATCTCCTCCTCCCTTCGAGAAGCTCAGTTGACAGGTTAGTGTGAGAATGATTAGTATATGGAAAGGGAATTTAAGGTAGCTTAGCTTCTTAAAAGTATGTGATAACATTGGAAATTAAGATAGATAAAATTTAGGACCAGGAAAAATCCATATTAGAGTAGGAAGCTTGACTGTAGATATTCAGGTCTTGAGTCTTACACAGTTGTAAAAACTGAGCTGTATATTTGGTTTTGATTTTTCTTTTGGCCTAAGGGGAAAAGAGAATGTAACCGAGATTATGATTTGCATTATACATAAGACAAAATCTACCAGTCCTAAAAATGGAAGAACTAATTACGGCGATTACCCAAATGGAAGCAACTCCTTCCATGCGTCTGCATCCTTCCCGTCCATGTTGTGATCCCTCAGGCCCCTGCCCCTCCACGGCCCCCTCCCCTCAATAGTCACAAGCTCCTGACACTGGCACAAGGCGTAAGCAAACAGATGCATTTTGTCCTGGTTCCATCCGGTGGAAAGTGCTCAGGCTTTCAGTCGTGCCAATCTGGGTGCAGACCCTGGCTCCGTGACTTCCTTCTCACCTGTTCCTGGTGGACAGCGTGGTTATCCCTCTGTGAATGAGTTTCCTCCTCTGCAAAGTGACTGTGCTTAAATACCTGGCCTGTAGTAGGTGCTCTGAAGGAAGGAAAAAAAAAGTAGTTGCTCCTGTTCGTTCTGGAAACGGGCCACTGTCCTGTGACCACTGCTAGCCCAACTTCATACATCTGATTTTTGAACCATGATTTTTCAAGTCAGTATGGCTATGAAGATATGGCTTATAAGATATCTGTTTTGGGCTAATATCATGATGACAGTACTTAGCTTATAAAAAATGCTCAATAAATGGTGCCTATTACTTTTCCTGTGCTCTGGTATCTCAGAATATTTTTTTAGAGTGGTAATAATAGGAGACTGTATAACCCAGTCAGAATTGACATTTTATGAGAAATTAAAAGGTTTAAGGGGTCGAGCAACAAAGGAGACAAAGCCTGCTCACGTGGCCTTGCACTCATCACTTTGTTCATGTACAGTGGTCCGCGAAGGTTCTCACCGAGTGTTTCTGAGACAAAAAATAGACGATGAGATATTTATTATTGATCCTGTCATCAGCTGTCTCGGTGATCTTGAAAAGTTAAATTCCATTTTTTTGGTTTACACAGATACTTGACCAAAACGTTGGCAAAACTGAAAAACGCCACAATTATTTTGACCACATTTTTGCTGCGTAATCACAAACCCAGCTGTCGGGCAGCATGGCCGAGCAAGTCTGCCACGTGAGGTTCATTCTGAGGCATCATGTGGTAAACACTTTGCATTGCTTCCCTCAGGTCAGCGTAGTTGAAACCGAGAGGGTAGAATCATCTCTTTTCCATGCGAGTCCGTGGTGGAGCCCACTGTTCATGCACGACAGTGGTTGTTAATTTGGGTTCATACCCCTCCACACCTTAGGACTAATGCCGAGAGAAATGCTGAGAAGTCATTGCATCTGAACGTGTGAACCTCTCTCTCTCCCCGTGTGAACCTCTCTCCCCGTGCGAACCTCTCTCTCCGTGTGAACCTCTCTCCCCGTGTGAACCTCTCTCCCCGTGTGAACCTCTCTCCCCGTGCCTTCGTGCCTTCGTTCTCTTCAGCCTTGCCCAGCAGCCCCCCTCTCCCATCACCCTCTTCCCCTCGCCTGAGTATTTCTTTTAGTCAGCTAATGGAATTGTACTATCACTCAATCTCAGACTGGGTCAAGAAATATGCATTTAAATAAACTTGTTTTCCTATGGGAATATAAGTCCTTTCAGTATGTGCTGTTCTTGAATTCCATTTTGTGAGTGATTGACAACTCGAAGCCATTACAGAACAGTTAATCATGGACTTAGTACTAATAATTTATTCCCTGTGCGTTGAATACAACTACTGCTAGTTTGTTCCTATAGTTAATCTCTGGAAGTTAAATATGCATATATATGTATATATGCTGCTTTATAGCTAAATCTTGGTTCAAAAAAGAACACTTAAACAGTTTCTAAGGGTAATCATTAATTCGATTAACAAAAAGTCCACAGTGGTTTTATGGAGTTGCTTCCTACTCTCTTGACTGTGGGTTGTTTGGAATTGTTTTCCAAGCGGAGATTTCATTTCTTGTTCCTAAAGGAAGATAGCAGCTTCTTTCAATGGAAACTATTAAAATGGGTTATTGATTACTGGCATCTATAAAAGATTTTAGCACATTGTAATTTACTGAAGAGGGAGGTTTAGATATTTATCACGTGTCAGTAAAGGTATTCCAGTATCTCTCTTGACAAGATAATTAGGTAAAATTGCACATCAGGCAAACCGGATTATAGGCGCAGAAGAATTAGTGGGTGGGCGAGGGAGAAAGTGAAGCTGATTGCGAGAGACTGTATTCAGAGTCAAGTCAGACACAGATGAAGTAAGACGAGAGTGATTTTGTCGTGTCCATTTTGTAGATGAGTCTTTCTTGAATAATGTTTCTCAGGGTGTTAGGAATGAGGTATAATAGGAGAACTCTTGGATTTTTTCTCTGGGAGCGAGAACTAATGTCTGTGTTCTAGAAAGAATCCTGTTTTTGTAATGGTGGTTATTGTGGGCACGTGACCTTATCAGTCGATGGCTGCTTTGTGATAAGGCGAACAAAGAAAGCCACACTGAGTCCAGGCAGATCTGTACTTGGTCTTAGACAAGTCACTTAACCTCTCTGATTGGCAATTTCTCACCTGTTAGTTGGTAATCACTTAGAGTTAACTTGCCTACTGTAGTAACCAGCGTAAGTGCAAGGTTGTCCCCCAGCTCTGCTGGGCAGTGTCCTGCCTGTGAATCTTTGTCAGTAAGAATCCTCTTGATGGGGTTACATGGTTTCTTATTTACCTCTTCACTACATTGTTTTCAAATTTTATTTTGCAAATTATGAAGGAGAACCAGAAATTCTGTGAGTCACTTTTTTCTACCACCGTGTGTACAATATTGTTCTCAGATGCCTCTGCATGTTGTTAATAGTGACAGTATCAAGAATTTCTGACCAGGCATCCATTACACTCACTGTTTCTTGTACAGGCCTTGCACTTTCTTGTCTTGATACTTTGGTTCATGTTATTTTTGCTTCATTCCTTCTACAGTGCCAAGCTCAGGTACTTCTTCCTTTAAGCCTTCTGTTATCATTGGTATCTGTCGCTTCTGAAGTTATAGCTTTTGTAATCCTACTCTAGCTTGGAATATAATTGTGTACTCTGTCAGCCCATACCATAATTTTGCATTGTTGTTTAATTCTAAGTATTTTTAACTCAACTAGATTTTCAAATTGCTGTATGAGAGCTCGATGCTGTAAATCTTCATATCGTCCCCAGTGCCGAGCACTGTGCCATGTCCATAGAGGACACCTAAGTTTTTGTTCATCCACCCAACTATATGGCATTCATAAGACACGTATTGAATCTTTTCTTTATACCATTCACTGGTGCTTGGTACTGAGAAACTAATGATAAAGAAAATGTGAGAGCATCTTGGCCATCAAATGGTATGTAGTCTAGTGAGGGAGACAAATAAGATAATACATAGTTAAAGCATGTTCTGAGTACTGGAATAGAAGGGTACTCAAAGGAGACAGTCAGAGACACTTTAATAGATCGGGATATTTTTGTAACTTTTTGAATTGTGTCTTTATAGAAAAATACCATTTCTCTTGAAGTGAAAGTTAAAAGAGCCTTTTAAAATTACTTTATATTTTGACTTTATAGATTGCCGCAGTTATCCCAAGGATTAACCACTCTCATGAAATTTTAGAACATAATTTGTATTAACTTTATCTACATAAACCAAAAACATGCCTTGGCATTTTTTAAAAGAGGGAATTCTAATAAGCAGGCTATCATATTTCAGAGGAGTTGCTTTGAAACTGGGAAATCTAACTTCGATACTGGAGGTGTCACTCACTGTCACTCAGGCACTTTCATCGCTGCCCTAAGAGGCCTGGAAAGTGGGCATTTCTGTTGGTGCTGAAGGCTGCCTAAGAACTCTTCAAATTAGAGGTGTCGAAACCCGTCCTGCACGGGGCACCAGGATTACACCGGGCTGGAGGCCTCTGTGTTCTGTCCAGGGAGAAGCACGTGACCAAATTAAGGCCTTCCCTTCACCCCCCCAGAATATAAACTGATCAAACAAACTAAACTTAAGGAAAATTTTTTTCCAACAGTTTAACCTTAAATAACATTTTTTATGATACTATAAAGACGTCTAAGTCAAGATGAAAATACTAAGATATGTGTTTTATTCAAGTGGCATTCATTACTACAGACAGTTCAAGCAAGAGTGCAAGTGTCTATTCTTTCTGATTATAATTCCGTTTGAACATCGTATCAAATTTGGGGCTATCCTGTATCAATTCAAGGCTCTTGGATGTAACACATATACCTAGAAGTTGAGATTGTTTCTTCCCCTCACAGATTCCTAAATTCTTGAAATATTAAGGTGGTTTACATTTCTGTAACAAAGCTCCAAGTAAATGTTTTTTCTTGTAACGTGAATGAATAACGCATAGTGGAAGCTCAGAGAGCTGGTTCGTTTCCTAGCTGTAAAGCATTGGACAACTCTCCTAACGGCGGGAATGTGAAGTAATGCCTGCTCACAGGCTTGCTGTAGCCCCACGGGAGATAACATGAAACGTGAAAATCGTATAGTACAATCACAGGCCTTTAACACGTCCGTTTCCTTTTATGTAAACTATCTGCATCCTCGTGCTTTACCATCTTTGATTAGGCAGGAAAAAAGGACTTGTACGAAGTCATCTTTCCTCCTGATTTTAAAATAAGAAAAAGCAACTTGTTTAATAAGGAATCAAATTTTAACCCAATTTCTTCATCTCTTTAATTTTAGTTTGTCCACAGTAGAAATTGAAAATCGAGCCCAAACCCTTCATCTCTTTGAGACTCTGAAGACTGATCCCGAAACCTTTCACAGGCACATGGTCAAGTATATTTATCCCAGTATTGATGGCTTTGATCATGAAAGGCTGCTGTATTATTTTACTCTTCTGGAAAGCTTTGGCTGTGCAGATTTTGGGAAATATGCCATTAAACCGGAAACCCACATTCGGCTGCTGAAGAAATTTAAAGTAGTAGCATCAGGTAAGACGGTCATTCCCCTGCGTGAACTCACTCTTGAAATTAAATCTAGGGATTAATTTTCTGTACTCAGTCACGTCCGTGCACTGTGACTGGCGTAGATCTGAAACCACAGGAATGTAATGCTAATCGACTTTAGTTATTTTCTTTCCAATTCCTTTACTTACGGTTGAGGGAATTAAATACCAGAGAAACTAAGAAACCTATTAAAAGTCACATAGTGACTTATAGTAGACCTGGAGCTAAAATCCAAAGTTTTGGACTCCAGAGGTTTTTTTTCCCCCCTACTCCCGTTGGTTATATTTTCTCTAGATAAATGACAAGGCCGAGACACTATACGATAGGCAATTTGGCAGAATCACACTTCATTGGAGCCCGTTTGTTTAAAGCATGTGTGGAGCCCATTAAAATAAGACCTTTCAAATCTTTGATAAATTGCAGTATTCTTTAGAATGGTGTCTATAAATCTTTATTTTCATAACTAAGAAATTAAGCACATTAATACCTCCACATCTGCATGATACTATATAATTTACAAGGCATTTTCAAATCTATTTAATATTTATAACAATCAGGAGAATTTGCTTCAGTTTATCTGTGGTTTACTGAGTAACCAAATCAGACACTGGACTAGACACAGAACGCATGGAGTGTGGTTCAGCTTCTGCTTTCAAGTAGTCGATGAAATGCCAGATGAATAACAAATGAATATAATGCAGTTTGGTGAGTGTACCGGTAGAGGAAATCGTAGGTACCGTGGAGGGATCAAAGAAGCAACGGGATACTGGCATCAACGGGGCACAGATGGAGCTGAGACTCGCAGAAGGGGAGCGGTCTGTCCAGGATTGCACACTTAACTTGCAGGCTGGGACTGGAGCTCAGATCTCCTGATCTGTCTCATGGACTACTAAACTATTTGCAGTAACTAAGTTGGTAAATCCGTCATTTCATTCAGCCACACAGAGGGCTGTGTGTGTGTTTGAGGTTTCTGTATATTTCCGTTGGAATGAACTATTTTCTTTTTTTCTTTTCTTTCCAATAGGCCTTAATTACAAGAAACTGACAGATGAAAACATGAATCCTCTCAAAGCACTGGAGCCAGTTCTTTCAAGTCAAAATATCTTATCTATTTCCAAACTTGTTCCCAAAATCCCCGACAAGGATGGACGGATGCTGTCCCCAAGCTCTCTGTACACCATCTGGTTACAGAAGCTGTTCTGGACTGGAGACCCTCACCTCGCCAGGCCATCCCCGGAGCCCTCGTCAGCGTGGCTTCACGCCTGTGAGGTCTGCGTCAAGTACTTCGATCGCCTCCACCCGGCCGACCTCATCACTGTGGTGGACGCAATTACATTTTCTCCCAAAGCTGTGACCAAGGTAACCAAAAAGAGAGTTTACAGTAGATTGTTTTAGAAGAAATGAAAATTGCTCTTACATTCTGTAGATTTTGGTTTTTCTCCTTTCTTGAAATGGGGAATACTTACACGTGTGGCTTTTTTGTTTTTGCTGAGCATGAGGTGTTCGAATTGGGATATTATTTTCCTCTGTCACAGAAGTGCACGTCGTCTAAATCAAACTCAACTATTCAAGTTTGCGCATACATTTCGTACACGTTATAGTTCTCATAACATGTCATTTTAAGGGAAATACTCCATCCCGTTCTTTCCAATCGATAGGCAGAAAGAACCTCCGGTTATCTGCAGTACCCGCATTCATAGCCAGGCTAACAACTTAGCTGTATTTAAATTGAGCCCTAAGAAATGTCACACAAACACCATGTAGTATGGGACTTGGCGACAGAACTATGCATGGGAGTCTGTGTCGCGTTTTCCAGTGTCTGCTCAGTGCTCAGGTCTGAGCCCTTTGGCTGGACTCCAGACCCTTCAACAATGTGTAGTTTCACCCAGAATAGATAATGTGGGTCCTTCTTCCCTTCTTGCCTTCCCGTCCTGACACACTGTTAAACCAATGTACATTTCTCACTGGGTGGACACAGGGCATTATCTGTCCTAGAAAGTCTCCTAGCCTCTGGCTGCAACCACTGACCCGTACTGCCCCGGGAACTTCCTTTGTATCTTCTCTTGCCCATCTTTGCTGCTAAGTCTGCCTAGTACCCTATCTTAAGAATTTTTATTTATCTTGGAAGTTGAGTATAAAGGCTATGAAGTCAAGTTGTTCATTTGGAAGCTGGCATAGGAAAGAGGTTCAAACATCTGTGGGGAATGCTAGCTTTAACATAACTAACTTGCTAAGTGAAGAATTGTGAATAACTCAAGACTTCATATCCTTATTATTTTAAATGAGGTAATTTATTTAATAACTCGGTTTTAAATTTTACAACCACTGCTAAAAAAAGGGAGATAATCATTTTGGTTGTTTTAAGGAAGAAAATAAGGATGATTTTAAAGAGAGGTAGCATGATTAATTTGAAAAGAGCACAAATTTGGAGTCATATAAACCTGGCTTTGAACTTGGAGCCTGCCACTTCTCAGCTCTGTGGTTGCGCCTCAGGAATCTCTGTTCAGGCAGAGGCTGTAGCCGGGTAATCTGTGAAGTGGAAATTATCACTCTGATTTTAGTAGGAGAGGAAACTCAACCAAGTTAACTTCGTAATAAAGGAGCCACAATTCGAACTCAGCATGGCTTATTCCGGGGCCTTTGCTCTTAGTCACTGAACTGTGCTGTATCTGAGAAGTCATAGAACAGGCAGCTAGAGTACAGGGCCCTGGAGCCGTTGGGAGAGCAGGGGGACCAGAGAGCCCCACGTATTTTTCAGTCCAAGTGGAGGCCCATCGTCATGGGGCATGTCCAGAGCAGGGCCAAGTCTAAATGAGGAAGGCCAGGCTGAGGAAGGGACCTGGCAATGTGTGGGAAAAGGCAAGAGTCCAGCAAACATCGGTTTCGAATCTCCGAGACCGAGAAAAGGTTCGCAGTCCAATAATTATTAGCATTGCAGGAAGTACGTATTGGATGGAAGGGTCTGAACCAAGTGGGGAGTTGAAATGTGAGGAAATGACGTCAGAGCTGGGACCTGTGAACTGGCCGAGAGAGCTAGACGAGCACACTGATCAGCCAGGGAGACGGAGGGGCTTTCACTCTACGGCCGTTTACTTCTCGCAGGCTGAAGGGTGTTTAAAATATTTTATATGAGGACAGGAACAAAGTCTAGCATGACAGGCCGAGGCCATATGCTAATCGTGAACCTGTGTGTGGAGGTGGGCAGACAGTTCTAGACTTTCCAGCAGCAATTATTTACTCATAATTAAACGTAAGAATTGGATGCAGAGTCCAGTTAGAGTTTTAGTTGTTATTTATGTTTTAAGTCAGATGACTATATTCTCATCACCTTAGTTTCTTAATCTTATACTTTAAAATGTCCTTTAGCCACCTCACAATATGTGACACAATTGTTTGTGCACATAGGTGCATTTTTTTCTGAGGAAAAGATGTGTTACTGGCCCCAAAATGGTTGAGTCAGTTAATTATGGCATTGCTGTCTCTTATTTCAGATGATAAAATACTCAGCAAAATATTCTTTTGTTGTAAACTTTCTCAAGAAGTGGTTTCTGTGTCAGGTTTAGCTGTAGAAAAGTGAGACAGATACATTTGAAAGTCATTTTACATCTTGAGCTTTGTATTTTTTGTCATTAATTGGAGAGCTTTCAATTTTTCATTCAGGTAGAAAAGTATTAAGTTCAGATACGATGCACATTTAAAATCACACAGTGTTGTCCTACAGAGAGATAGAGAATCAAAGCAGAATTGGAGAACAACCTGCACGTGTCAGAGGACACATTTGGAAAAGGAAAGGCAGCTGGAAGCTGGATTTGGCCAAATTTACAAAACACCAGATGTTCTCACAGCTTGTACGTGATGTTAAAAATGTAAATATATGTGTATACTACTCATATATAGTGTGTAGTTTTCAAATGTATACCCACATTCGATTCAGAATCAAACTTTTGGAAAGAACTGGTGAACTAATTTTAGAGTGTGTAGGAAGAACAGGAAGCGGTTGTTCAGACTAGACTTCAGAGAGGAAGATCCCCAAAGCCTGAACCCAGTACCCCGTCCACGGTGAAATCAACAGAGAAGGCGCTTTGCCCTGATGACAATAGTTGACTATGCAGTTGCCATTTGCATTAATGAATTCATGGAAATTCTGGGGAAAATATTCATAAAACGGTATTATATCGTGTAGGCAGAGATTGAATTTGCATGACATTTGAGGTGATAAATATGCAGAAGGAAAAGAGTAAAAATGTTCAAAGTACATTTGCTCCAATTCTAAATTAAGTTTCTTTCTGTTGAGTCAGGTTACAGTTGCTCTCCTATTACTTTTCCAGTTCAGTCATTAGAAACAGTTTTGTTGAAGGGACAAGGAACAAGTTAGTGGGTTAGAAATCCAGGAAAATGGCCAACACCATTTGCGTGGTTCAGACACGATGTGTTCGGACAAGGGGGAGCTTCGTGTGTGTAACCTCAGCCTTCGTGGTGTCCTTCCCACTCGCTTTCGATGGCCGGTATAGTGTCAGTGAGGACGTGGAAGATACTCCTCTCGCTTCTGAAACGCTGCCCAGACGTTTGCTGGGATCGTTCTTTAAAATCCCCAGGAATTCACAGAATTGGAAGAGGTCTGCTAGTGAGTGCTCCGCCCGGTGCTTCTCAGCCTGGAATTGGATAGGCGTTTGCCGCCCTCGCCACCCCACTCGCGTCCTCTGTTTCAGCTCCCACTGTTGCTGATGGGAATACCCTGCCTCCTTTGGATTAGAGCAGAAAAATATTTGAGAACCTCTTATCAAATTTGACTTCTGACCTTCAAGCATCATTTCTATTGATAATTAAGCTACCCCTCATATATATTTACACACACACACACACACACACACACACACACACACACACACACACAGAGGACATCATGTCTTGAGCCCCTCATGGTTGCCATTTTTGGGCTCTGCCTCCTGGAGCTCTGGAGACAGACAGCAGAAGGGAATCTCATTCTCATATTATGACCAATCAGATTTGTGAAATAAGCTATTTTCTCTTTTATTCTATTATCCAGACTGACATATAAATCGGGAAGAATAAATTTATTTTAAATGATATGACCTAAAAGTAAAATGTATTCTGTAAGTTTAAATCAATCAAAATGCTGCATCGTGGCTATAATTTTAGGGTCTTCACAGTGCTAATATTATATTTTAACTAATGATGGCAGCATATTTTTCATTATAATGAGCAGTAGATGTCTGAAACCTGTGTAAACATATGGAGATGATGCATGTTCCCTAATTTCATGACAAGATACATGACTTTCTGATGCATCAGTCAAATGCATATTATATAGATTCAGACTGAATCACAAGTATTTAGGCATTAGCTATGTGGCGTATACCGTATTAGTTGCCATTGGCAACATTAAGATATATAAGACATTACTATAAGAAACTTGGAGTTTTATTTTTTTTACAATAAAATTATAATTGATAATTATACTCCCTATGAAATTAGAAATTCTTTGAGGTTGGGGATGGCACGTGTTATCTATAATTCTCTAGTTCTCAGCACCATTTAAGTGGTTTAAATAATATCATAGGTTGGTGATTTTTTTAAAAATTAACTTCAAGTATACAGTACATTGGTTAGACATTTATAGTTTATGAAATGATCCCCCTGATTGCTTTTTCTCTCCTCTGGCTCTCCACCTAGCCAATACATTAATGCCGACTGCATTCCCTACGCCGTGCTCCCCACCCCCGTGACCACCTATCAACTACTAATTTGTACTTCTTTAACGTGTGAAGTCACACTGAAATCCTCAATACATTTAGTAACATCTGATAAATTAAAGATACAGCAAAGGATATTATTCTGCAAGTGAGATGACACAGGCTTTTGTAAAGGATGACTTCTGCAGAACGCATTTCTTATACCCTCCAAAAAAAAAAAAACCGTTTAAAACATGCTAAACTGGGACGAGACACCATTACTGTTGCAAGGAAAGGATCTCTTTTCATTCCAAAGTTAGCAGTCTGGGACTTCTAAACTGACATCTCAGTACTATTACCACTCATTCAAGGATTTGTAAAACCAAACAAATACAATGGAAATTCAGAGAAACCATCTTTTCTTTGGATACATACCCAGAAGTGCAGTTGCTGGGTCAAAAGGTATATCCATGTTAAATTTTTTTGAGAAACCTCCAGACTGTCTTCCATGGTGGCTGTACCAATCTGCAGTCCCACCAACAGTGCACGAGGATTCCCTTTGCTTTACATCCTCGCCAGCACTTGTTCTTTGATTTATTGATGATAGCCAATCTGACAGGTGTGAGGTGATATCTAATTGTGGTCTTAATTTGCATTTTTCTGATG